GTCCTCCTCCATCTCACAAAATATGCACTACAATGCCAACTGCAGGAGGAAAGCCGAATCAGTGAACGTGTAAGCATCTCAGCGCTGGCAGGGGTCTCCACACAGCTGCTCCAGCACCCAGGGCTGCATAGGGGTAGGTCCATGTGGTTTCTCCTCAGGGATGTCTTGCAGGAAGTGAGCTTTGACAGCTGAAGCAGGGAACTGGCTAAGGAAGCTGCACCTTGGTCCAACCATCAGAAAGCAAGAGACCCAAGAACTCAAAAGGCGAGGCTCACTGAGCCATTTATCCCTCCGCCCTTCAATTGATCTCACATGTGTTTATCAGCCAGGTTGGCACAAGAAACTATATCAGTCAGCATGGACTCAATGGTGGTGAATACATGACCTATTGGCCTCGACTTTCCCTACCTCTGATCTAAATGGTAACTGTAGGACAATACAAAGACTTAATTGGCAATATTCAAACGAAATGCTTAAACATTCAGTTGGTCCTTGGGCTACACCGAGGAAATCTACATAATGAGTGGTCAAACAGTGTGTTGGACACTCAACATTCACCACGTAGTAAGCAAAAAAGAATGCCCGCTTTGGGAAGTGCTGTACAGAGCGACAAGTCCAAATGGCCACAAGCAATACTCTTAATAAGCACGCTGTCTCTAGAGGCACAAAGCCACAGTTGAGAGCTCATGCCAAGTGCAGGAGGCCGAACAGGCATAGGCTCCCATAGGGGAGAACAGTTTTCTATAATCTTTCTAAACAATCTTTAGACAGGCTTCTAGGAAACCCTTAGGACTGGGACCCTCATAAAGCCTGTGGCTTATGAAATCTATTTATAAAATTCTTCTGAGAAGGTTACACAAATATATTGTCTCAAGGCCTGTGTAACTAAATGTTATAACCTAGTCCTTAGAGGATATCTAAGTTTCAACAGATCTTAAAACTATCTTTAAAAAGCTTGGGGTCTTGCAAAAAAAAGCAACCTGATTGTATTCTTCTAAAACATCTATTACATCTACCCTGCTGTGATTATTGTGGATCATCATCATAGTGACAACCACCATCGATGTTCGAGCCATCATCTTATTGCATCCTCCGAAGAACAGAAGAAGGCAAGTATGATTATTCCTATTTCACAGAACAGGAAGTGAAGCTCATAAAACCTAAATGACTTCTCTGTGGTCTCCTTAATCACTAACGAGCAAAGCCAGAAACCATGCCCGAGTCCCTCTGCGATCAATCCAGTGTATGCTGAACAACCACAGCACATATTGCCAAGCTTTACCATTGTATTTCACTCTCTGAGATACCACTTGGCAAGGTGGATTGGATATACACACCATAAGAATCTTTTCGTATCAATCTGGTTTCCAGTGGCCTTCCCTACAAATACACCAAGAATCTCATTCAAATACCTCATTTTAAATTTCTTTGTATACCAGAAGGAATGAAAACTGGTACCAATCTCATCATTCACATTAATAAATAGGCCAAGCATGTTGCAAGAGAAAGTTGAAATCCATTTCAGAGATCAGACATGTTCTCTGCACTATTTATGGAGCCCAAGCTAGAGCTCTGACTACATTATGATTAAACATCCATGGTTTTCATTTATTCAAACTCACACTCGAGTCATTATTTCTGATATAGTCACCCTGCCAGTGGTATAAGCTGCCAAGAGGTAGACTAAATTTCAAGGTCACCTTTGGGTCTCTAGTGAACTCACTGAAGCTATATTTATATATTTGATAGCCTTGGGTTTTAATGTAAAAAGAATTACCATATTAATAAAATGTTCTTGTAGTACACACAAGCCAACTTTATGGCAATATGGGCGGCTGGCTTTTTCAAAATCGGAAGAAAAAAAATCAATTGCTGCCCAAAGCAGATTATATGCAGACATGAGGAAATTAAAGCTCAAAGGTTAATGAAAACAAACAAGCGAAATCCATATTTTAAAGGAGAAATATCACCTACATATGACTTCCAGAATGTAGAATTTTTCAATGAAGGTAAAGGCTGGAAAGCAACACTCCAGTTTAAAGTGACCCTTTGAATCTCTATGTCTTTCACTAGGTTTAGACCTTTCACGATATGTGTTCAATCTGTATGGCGAGAAAATAATTTGAAAAGACTGGACCATAACAGAAGAATGTGGCATCAGAATTGGGGAGAGGCTCATTAACAACCTGTGACAAGCAGATGACACAACTGTGCTTGCTGAAAGGGAAAGGATTAGAGGCATTTACTGATGGAAATAAAAACTACAACCTTAAAGATGTATTGCCCCTCAACTTTTTAAAAAAGTCCTTACCACTGTACTTATAAGCAACATCAAGATAAAGGAGACACACAAAACTGAGGTTGTCAAGGATTTCATTTTACTTGGATTGACCATCAATAGTCATGGAAGCAGCAGTCGAGACATCAAACAGGATAATGCACTGCATAAATCCACTGCCAATGACCTCATCAAGGTGTTAAAGAGCAAAGGTGTCATTTTGAGGACGAAGGAGCACCTGACTCAATCACGTCACATGCATGTGGCAGCTGGGCAACGAGTAAAGAAGTAGACGGAAAAAAGAAGTGCTTTATTTAAATATGGTTTTGGTGAAGAATACTCAAAGTACTATGGGCTGCTACAAGAAGAAAAAAGTACATCTCTGAAGGACAGCCGGATTGTTCCTTGGGAGGATGGCAAGATTTCGTGTCACATGCTTTGGGCATGTTATCAAGAAGGACAAGTCCCTAAGAAGGACAGCATGCTTGGTAGAGAGTCAACAAAAAAGAGGAAGACCCGCCTCAAGACTGACTGGGACAGTGGCTTCAACAACAGGCTCAAACTAGGAAGGATGGTGAGGATGGTGCCGGCCCGGGCAGCATCTCCTTCTGCTGTGCAAAGATCGCTATGCCGAGAACCCACTGGACAGTACCTAACCAGCACAACAAAAGACCCAAAACAGACAGCAGTAAGAAGGTTCCAGCTAGGCATTCACTTTCAAAACTTTTTCTTAAAATCAAGACATTTGCCTTCTCTGAGTACTTTTCCAATTTGCTGTTTAAAGTCTCTGAAGGAAGCTAAGAAAAAATACCTGTGTTCTTTGTAAACATAAACGTGCGTGTATGTGTGTGTGCATAGGCTTCAAAAGATTCATGGGAAAGTTCTATTATTTTCCCATAAACTTTTTGAAGTCCGTGTGTGTGTGTCTGTGTCTGTGTGTGTGTAAAAGTATTTCAGCAAAATATATCCACGTTGCAAGTTGTAGATTTGTGCTCCTTGCAAGTTTCCTCTTCAAGGTAGATGAGCTTGAAGATTTAGATGCTAAAAAGGAGCTTGAGTCTTGAAAGCTGTTGGATTTACCAATATGGGTGTTTTCCTCCTATGGAGTTCTTGTGGTGGAATGGGTTACATTGTTGAACTGCTAACTGCAAGGTTGGTGATTCAAACCCACTAGCCACTCAGCTTTCTGCTCTGTGAAGATTTACACCCTTAGATACCCAAAAAGGAGGGCCAGTACCACACTGTCCAATTGGTCAGAATGAGTCAGAATTAACTTGATGTAGTGAGAATGAGATTGTCTCTCCTGCATTAACAGCTGCAACAAGCAGGTTTTTTATTGACTAAGAACTAGATCAGTAACACTACTTTAAGTATTTTCATCTAACAATACTTTAAAGTATTTTCATCGTCTGCTTAGAAACTTGGGGGAAAGATGAATGCATAGTTTTCTTTAAAAATTACTACTCTATAAAAAAGCTCAGAGATTAAACATCCCACAGGTGTAGAGCCAAACTCTTTGTTTTACACACAAACACAACTTCCTAAATCCCAAAAAGTCTCAACATCTGACCCATTTCATTTTTACAAGGGAAGGGTCTATTACACTGGAAAATATGCGTAAAACTCTAGAGCATTCAGAAGCATTAAACAGTTTTATTTCACATTTGTTTCCTATGTACTCTGCTTCAGAGACACGCCATGGCACCTGCTGCTGTAACTCTGCTTGCCATCCACTCCCAATCCTCTTTCTGATGAGGTGAAGCTGGGCCTCTCTGTGAACAGCTGAAGCAATACTGCCATCTCCTGTTCACAACATGTAATATCATGAAATTGCCCTTTACCCTGGTGTGGGAATGGAAAGTGGAATTGGACAAAATTAGTCATTAGCGACGGTTGGTTCTCCTGCATTTTTTAGGCATGAATAATAAACAACTTTGCCAGTGAAGGCGGGAGAAGGAGAGAAGGCTAGAATTGAATATCATTACTCAACTCATTTTAAAGGTGATTTAATCATTGGGGAAAAAAAGAAAAAATGTAAAATTGACTGTGGTGATGATTATCTATTCTTCTTGACATGATTGAATTGCATGATGTGGATTATGTGCCAATTGAATTGAAAAATAAAGAGAGAAACAAAACAGTAATTAATTTTAATAGTAAATTTTTTTTTGCTAAAATCATTTTGTTTCAAACTTGCTATATTGGATTAAAGTGATTCTAGACACACTTGGGAATGGTTAAACATTAAATTGAGAGTTCTGACTTGCCTGTTGCTTGTTGCTCTCTTACCTACATTTCCATTATTTTTTTATAATGTAAATGTAAATAAAACTTTAAATTTTTTAAATAGAGTGACATATCAACTTCAATGTACTCTAAAAGTGTTCTCAGGATATTGATTTTTTTTATTCCAAAAATTACGAACTTTGAAGTACGCAGAGATATGAATATGCAAAAGAGAAAAGCTAACTATAAGGCTAACACGTGGACTTATTTTAGGATCTTACTAAAGCACAGTACACAGACACAGGAGAGTTAAAACAATCACTTTCTTTTTTTTTTTAACTTTAAATTTTGTTGATTGTAAGATAATTTACAAGGTCTGGTTGTCTTTAATAACTGGAGCCATAGACCAATGTCTTCTGACAAGGACAGCAACAAGCACAACACAGGCCGCTGCTGTCACGTCTCCTTTCCACCTCGTCTGAGGACGATACTTGATTTTCAGTAATCCAGAGCGGCAGCACCAGAGATGGTTTCAATCAACTCGTTTGTGATGACAGCTTGGCGGGTACGGTTGAAAGTCAAAGTCAGCTTGTCAATCATCTCAGACGCGTTCTTGCTGGCGTTGTCCATAGCTGTCATTCTTGCACTCTGCTCACTCGTGGTGGACTCCCTTAACGAGCAGTAGATGATGTTTGCCAGATTGTACTCCTGGTAATTTTGCAGCACCTCAGCATCAATATCATCATAGATACCCATGCGCTCTGCACTTGCAATGGTATTAAGGGAAAATATGGGCTTCTCATCTGTCTTGTAGGAGATGACAGACCTGACTTGATTAAAAATGATAGATCCTTCATCAAATTCATATCCAGAATTTAGTAATTCGAGGGCAATAACAGATGCATCTCCAAAAGTAGGGGGTTTCCTTCCCACTTCTTTGAATGTCACCAGAAACTGGTCAGAGTGAGTCCTGTAAAGTATGCCCCTGATTTTATCACCAATTCCAACAAGCATCACTTCTTTGCCAGCTGCTGAGTGAGGCCACCTCACTTTCGATCTGTTTAGCAACTGAGGGATGAATAGCACCACAAGGCCCTCGGTCGGAGGAGACACCAATAAGGAGGTGTTTCTTCTTGTCTGCAGGCACCTTAATACAGTGAACCCTCGCCACTTCGCGCTTCGACTTCCGCGGATTCACCCTATCGCGGTTTTTGCGTAACAGCGCATGCTCTGTCATTACTGCCACTGATTGGCTCATACTGTACACGCTTCTGTCTGCATCGCTACG